ATAATATATAGAACCTGTTTTAATTGTTTGAGCTATTGATTTAACCGGCAAGTGACAGTTTGCTCAGTGAATGTATCACTTTGTAGTTCTTATACAGCTATAGTTGGTCATATTTCTTTATCCTTGTTATTTTTTAATTCTATTTATTTTCAAGCGAACTATTTGTAGATAATTGATTTTGAATTAGTGCTTTATATTTTGCAATTTTCAGAATTTGCTCGCCACGTGTTTCGAGATGTCCTTAGAGAGGCTCAAGACCTGCTACACTCTTGTGGCTCACCATCTGTGAAGTTTGTGCAGCATGATGCTGAGGTTGCTCATCATTCAGTGTCCGATGGTCGATGATCTGAGATTTCTAGGTTTTGGTTAGAAGAAGTTCCTCCAGAGCTCACGCTATGATTGTTGATGATATTGGTAGCTAGTTGTGGATTTTATTGCAATCAACCGCCTTTTGGTCAATTTTTTCACTAAAACCTTAGCATTACCCTTTAAAAACTTATATTCAGGGCAAATGACTTATTCTTTAGCGCTTAGATCATGTTAGGATACAACTCACATGTCTTAAACTTGAATTTTTTAAAACTTGTTTTTGGTTTTCAGTGAAATTTTGATGTGAGATGGTTGATTGCAACAAAACCCCATTTTAAAAGTGGTTTATGTATAAATTGAAATGAGAGGTTTACATACAATTACCCTATTTTAAAGTTGTTTCTAATTCCTAAATAAAAAACGTGTTATCATTTGCAAATAATTGTAGATGTTTTAAGTGCAATCGAAGAAATGCTGATATTTGACGTACGGATACTTTCTCCTGTGCATGTTTTTCACTTATTCCATGCTTTTTCTTGAGAAAATCAGGGACCTTTCAGATGACGTTTAGTGAACAAGAAAATCAGAGCACAGGCAAGTTGAACTTGCTCACCTTGCTAGGTAATAGAGTGCCTAAAAAAGAAATGTAATTACATAACATTTTGTCAAGTTAATGAAGAAAAATGTAATGTAAGTTTATACAGTTTTTCGCTTTGGTCATTATCTCGTACTTCAAAGCGCAACTCTCTCCTTGCAATCATTATATAATCGACTACTCTTGATGAGTATCATGGCACACGAGCGTCTGGTCGCAAGTATTTGCAATTGCAACTGTAACAAGCACAAATATATGAGCCTAACTCAAGGGTATCGAATACCAAAAAGGAAAACATCACAAATATATCATCCGTGATCACACTTGAAATCCCAGTAAACTGGCATCCTGCCCCTGCACGTTTCTGTAATCAATCACATTTGAACTCTCCATAGCTGTCTCATAGCTCAAGCTCTTCATCAATCATTCAAATGGGGCTGGAGATGAACTGGTTTCGTATTGAACTGTTTTGTTACACATTGGTGTTCATTACGAGCTTGGGCAGTCCGTTATTCTTCCACCTGGGGATACCAGCACGAGCTGCTTGCTTCAAGATGCCTACCCACTCTTCGAGTATCGACTCCTTGAGTTGTTGGACTTGCAGGTATTCCTTCTCCATTATGAGCTCTAGCTCCTCAAAATGCTTCATCTTGATTTTCAGCTTTTTCAGCTGCTCAAGGAAAATTACCACAAGAAAATCATGCATCAGAATAGGTTTACGTGGACTTCGTTAGAAACAGTTAAGTAGAATATGATGATGACAGAATAGGACTACAAGGACTTTGTTGGAAGGAGTGGTGTCACTACATAAATAATAGGGTTAACTGCGGATAGACCCTTTGTACTATCATCCTGATAGTTTTATTGTTGTAGATACACTTTCTGAGGGAATTTTTTGATCTTTTAAGGGAGTCTATAAGCAATAATAGATTTTCACTGGTTCTGGCTTTCTTCTCGACGTTTTCGTACTCATTTATTCTCTTTCGGGTTATTTTGTTAGACACTAATTACTGGAACACGGGAAATAGCTACTCATCATTAAGCACAAATGACAATAGATTTCCACTTAGAGGGTCTATATGCAACAATAAAATTCTTTCAAGAAGTATATGCAAAAGAAGTTTATTTGCAATAATAGAACTACATATGTAGTATGTTCAATTTGGCAATAGTACAGGGGGTCTATCTGCAACTGACCCAAATTGATAATTACAATTATTAAATTAATTAACTCAACATATAGTAAAAACTGATTAAGTTAGATATGAGAGAAGTCAATGGAAGAAAATATAAATTGCCTCTGGTAAAAAATATGGAGTTTAATTGGGTTATCTATTATACCGAAGGCTATATAATGGGGAGGGGTCATGTCACGTGACAGGACTTTGACATAGGTGGAACCGCCAATGAACCTAACATAGGAGATAAGCCCTTGAGAAAGCCTAATGGAAAAATAGGATTCAAGTAATCCCAAAAATTTGAGATAAAAGGCTTTGTTGTTGTTGCTGCTTGCTGAAAATCATGCATCAGCATAAGCACTAAAAAGAAGGAACAATTTCAAGTTTCTGCTTTCAAGGCGTGCTAAAAAGAAGGAACAATTTCAAGTTTCTGCCTTCAAGGCGCGGGTTACTATCTTTTCTCAAAGGGGTTAATTACAGATAGATCCCTATACTATCATCCAATTGCGGATAGACCCCTTATAGTTCTATTGGCAAGGTAGACTCACTATACTATTTTTGCCGAATGTAGATGAACCCCTTAATTGAATTTTTTTTTCTTTTAACTCATAGAAGAGTCAAAAAATGTTCACCCAGGAGCCTATCCGCACGTACAACTATAGCTCCTGAATATTAAAATGTCGAGTGACAGAGAACAGGGTTGTTGAGAGAATATGAGGATGTCACAATCTTATTCTGATCCCAGAACTTTATAAGGGTTGTTGAGAGAATATGAGGATATCACAATCTTATTCTGACCCCAGATATTTATATGTAATATGAAGAGCTTAGATTATATATTTGTAATCATGAAACCAATTAAAACTGGAGTAGACTCTATATTCATCACAAACAGTCACATTTAAAATATTTTTAACAAACAGTCACATTTAAAATATTTTTAAAAAAATCAGAAGGAAACCTGCATTTCAATAATAGATGCCATCAGAAGCTCCATCTCCCTCATTTCCTGGTCTGCCAAAAGCTTGGCACGAGCAGCTGTTGCTCCTAAAGATGTTGCAATGGCCGCTCTAAGTCGAAATGTCGTGGCACCAAAACTCTTTTCAGGAGAAGACTCTTCATTATTTGGTGGAAGAAAAACATTAATCATGTTATGAGATAAAAATAAATAAAATAATAAGTCGAAAAAGGGTTGCAGTGCAGCAGAAAAGGCTAAAAAGGTTCATAGTTCAGCAAAATTGAAAAGAAAAAGGATATATGCATTTATAACAAACATACTAGTAAATGAAGAAACTGTGAGTTCATGAAATTACACAGAGATACAAATAGAAAAGCTATGCAAATAGTTAAAGGCATGCACACAACACGACAGCATATTGTCAAATACATAATATGTTCATAATCTGTCATGTGATATGGAAAAAGAATAATAATGCATTTCCCTCAAAACAGAAAAAAAGTATCAAGCACATTAGGTTTACCAAAATTACCTTAAAAGGTGTGCAAAGTTAATGCTTTCATCAGATACTTACACAGAATTCACACGACATGATAGCATATCATTGAACATAGATGATGTCCCCATAAATATCCCATGACCAATAAAAAAATGTGACAGTGCATCGAATTGAATTATTCTATCAAAATTCAGACCAACTAATCAAACTCGTACTTTCCATTGCTGACACACAACCACACAAGTATACAAGAAAGAGGTCTATCCTTTCTGGATTTTGGAATTTCTAATCCAATCAGTGCAGGAACCAAATGAACGATCCTCTTCACGGATCAACCAAACATGATTTTCTCTAGGGATCAACCAAACGAACAATCTTCTTCACGGATCAACCAAACGAACGATCCTCTTCACGGATCAACCAAACGAACGATCCTCTTCACGGATCAACCAAACGAACGATCCTCTACGGGATCCAACAAACAAATCATCCCTCTTTAAGGATTTGCCAGACAAATAATCCCTCTTTAAGGATTTGCCAGACAAATAATCCCTCTTTAGAGGTCCACCAAACAAATAAAGCCGAGAAAATAACCTTCATCGAACCAAACTCCAAACCAAGTCATAATTCAATCAAAATCTTTTTTTCTTTGGTAGGTAATGGTGGTCAAGGTTTTTAGAATACAAGTGGTGGTGACAGTGGTGCCATCAAGTTGAGTAGGTGGTGAACGAAGAAAAATCGAGACGACACAGGCGGTGACGAGTGCATATACATTGAGGATGACTACTGCTATCATAATGGTAATCCTGATTATCAACAAGGCTATTGAATGCAGGACATATAAGAATCTGCGGCATTGTTCACGGTGGACAATCACCTCTGTACTGTTCAAGATGAACAATTACAAAAAGGGAGGTTGTAAGGCAGACGGAAGAGTTGGGGCCCTAGGGTTTGTAAGGACTTAGGGTTTTGTGAGGGCTAGGATTTGCATGGCTCTGAGATCATGTTAAACAACAAAATATTATAAATTTTCATTCATATTTTGAAAGCTATAACTACTCCCCTTTATGTAGGGATACAATAATAAGAAGTTTATTGTATAGCCAATGTGGGACTAAACACAATTACCTAATCACAATTATTCTCTTATCTCTCGATCACCAAATCTTTAATTTATACTCTTAATACATTATTCCTAATATAATTATAACATTATAGATCTCCATAATATATTCCTTAACAAATACGAATGGTTAGGAAAAATAATAATGGTTTGTTAAATTTTAATTATAATCTCACATCTCGTATCTTAATAAAATTTCATAATACATATTTGTTAATCTTGTAAAAGACAGAAAATTAAACTTTGTTAGTTTGATACAAATGGTTCGGAAAAATAATGGTTTGCTAAACTATTCTCATACAATAAAACGATCTAATGCGCCATTATTTTAACAAAATAAAAAACATACTAAGTTATTAGTGCATAGACAAAAAAACAAAAAACCTAAAAACATTTACAAGAATAAGCTAAGAGAATAACAAAAATGTAAATAACCCAATTACGTCTTGATTTATGAAAAATATTATCATCTCTATTTATCTTTACTTTATTTTTCCATATGGCTATTTCAATCAACAAGTTACCACAATTAGTCTAATTTAGTCATTTAGATATAATTTAAAATCATTGAAAGTTTCTGCTAATGACTAACTTTATGGGCTAATAATAGAGAAAGTTTTGATGTTAAACTGCAGAGATATGAATTTTAATATTACACTGGTACATAGGACCCAATAAGAGATTGAGATTTTTAATGCTAGGTGGGGCACCTCATGCTATCTAACACAAATTAGTTATACAACCAATTGTGTATAGAAAACTTTCAGAATTTCAGGTTGGGCATGTGCCCAACCTTGCTTGAATATGGCACCGCCCCTGCATACAAGAGCCTCTTTAAGAAGAATAAATCCTCCTATGAAAGAGAGACATGAATGTTGTGCCTAGAGAAACCAAAACAATCGCCAAGAAAGATAAACAACCAACCAAAATCAACAGCACAAACAACCAAACACCAGTTTTACGTGGTTCGGCAAGATGCCTACGTCCACGGGGCAAGGAGGGGGGAGTTTTCACTATTAGAAATCAAGAGGAACAAACTAGGGTTACAAATCTCTCATAAACCCTCAACAATCAACTCTCAATCTCTCCAATTGCTCCTAGAATAGAAGCCCAAAGAAAACTCTCTCAATCTGCTCAAATTCGTCCTTGCTCTTTACACCCTAAAAAACACCCAATGGGTATTTATACAAATCCAAAACGAAGCGGGTCTGAAAACAGGTCCAACTCAAAACCGCAGCGTCGGTCGACCGGTATGGTCGACCGCGATCCATCTCGGTCGACCGGCCCGGTCGACCGCCCTCCATCCAGCGGCTTGCTCCAATGTCCAGAGAACCGTCGGTCGACCGACACGGTCGACCGCCCATAGATTCGGTCGACCGGATCGGTCGACCGCCACCAATCCTGAAGCCCAATAACTCCTGTGCACGAATGCGGTCGACCGGGCCGGTCGACCGCCACCCAATTCTGCTGAAACCCGAACTTTCTGCCAATTCTACAAATCTCCACCTCGGCGAAGATTCTACCAAACTGAGCCGACACCGATCAAACCAATACCTCAACTGTTGCACCCAGTATGCCATGGCAACGGACTCATGACAACGGACTCCAATCACAACACGTCGAGATCCAAACGGGAGTGCGAACACTCAACCCCAAACCAACTGTGTCTACTCACCAAACAACTGAGCCTACACCGACTACACCAAATGCCTCACTTGCTGAGACCCAAATGGGAGTGCGAACACTCTCCCCAAATGTCGATGTCGCTCACCAAATCGGCTGCATCATAAAGACTGCCTACGTATCCTCTTGCCTAAGGAATCAAGCCTTCACGTAGTTCACCCTATGGGCCTCCAAAGGCCCTCAATCCAACCTGCGGCTGATAGCATCATCAACGACCTCAAACTGAAGCGATCCAAACACCTCCACCTGAGATGTAACAATGGCCGTATCCAAAACATATCCATCAGCTGCATCCAAATCAACTACCTCATCATCTGCACCCATAAATAAATGACTCCCACGCTGTGCCCCCTCAGCTGGAATCCCAACCAATGCAGAATGACCTGGAGTATGTGGGTAAATCCCCACCCAATGTGGAGTAGCATCAACCTCCACCTGCTGCGATATCCCTCTGACCTGATCAATACTCTCCACCTGCCGAGAGTCCAAAGTGACAAACCTGCTCAGACTAAACTCAGAAGCTCCCAACTGATAACCAAATGAACTCCTGAATCTCAACTGCGCAATCGGATCCAACCTCACATCAATGATGTGACCAAGTGCTGGGTAGCCAAATATCCGACGCCGGCCAAAATCTGAAACAGCTCCACCAGATCTAACAACTCTATACGCAGCAGTCGGCAACCACATAAGATGACCCAAACCTGTCGAAGCCTGAATACCAGATCCACTGCTCGACAACCAATACCGATCATCCTCCAGAAAGGAACGGCTCACTAAATCCGCCATCTCATCACGTCGCCCCACTGTCTCCTTCCCTCTGAAGTGTCTCCAACTGCCGTGAGCTCAGCACCAATGCAAGAAAGGACTCCTACTAGAACAAGTAAGACTGGTAACCTTTCTGCCCATACACCTCCTCCAACTGTTACGGACTACTAGGGCTTTATACCAACGGGACTTGGTTGCAACCCAAATATGCCTAGTACAATCCCCAACATAGGAAACAAAATAACGATTACCTCCCGATGATGCCTCCTCGGAAAGCCCCCAAATGCCTGACTGAACACCTCCAATAAGACCTCTCGATCGATGGATAGAAGTGCTGAACTCCACCTCGGTCTTCTCGCTCATACCAATGTGCTCACAGGACTTCAATCTGCAGGTCATAGCACTCCTCAACAATCTGTGCACGGTATAACCAACAATATATCCCAGCACCAAACAATGCCACATTTTAGCCATAGAAGTAGTCAGCGCCCTATCAACTACCGTGCTCCCAAGTAGATAATACAAGTTACTCCGTCTGACTCCCTTCATCACAATCATGGACCCTGATGTGACCTTCAAGCGAGAATCCGCCAAGATCACCCTATAGCCTGATGCCTCCAATACCCCAAGTGAAATAATGTTCTTCCTCAGTTGAGGAACGAACCTCACATCAGCCAACTCCCGGATCATCCCGTCACTCATCCGAATCCGAACGGTACCAATACCACCAATAGGGCATCTGTGATCATTACCCATGAGAACAGCATCCCCTCTTTCCAACTCCTGAAAGCTGGAGAACCAATCCCTTCTAGGGCATATGTGGTAAGTCGCACCAGAATCCAACATCCACTCGGTGGAGTCGGCAACATCAACTGACGGAAGAGCTGGGCACGAATAGCCCGAAGAATCTGAATCTGAAACATCGCCACTAGCCTTGGCAATATTCACCTCTGAAGCTTGAATAGCTTTCCCTTTATTCTTCACAGCTTGCAATTTTGGGCATTCGGCTTTCCAATGTCCATCCTCTCTACAAAAGGCACACTAATTCCTACCAACTGCAGGATGCCCCCCTCTAGACTACGACCTTCTTCCACGGTTTGGACTTTTAGCTCTTGCAACCAATGCACCCGCAACCGGCTCGATGGAAGTCTCCTTGTCCTTCTTTCGAAGTTGATAATTCACAAGGGCTGCGGTGACCTCACTATATGAAAGTGATGCCTTTCCATTAATAAGAGTGAGAACGAAGGTCTCATATTCCTCGTCGGGCAAGGAACTCAATAACAACAATGCCTTGTCCTCGTCTTCAACCTTGACATCTACATTCGCCAAATCTGCAAGTAGCTTCGTGTAATGGTTCATGTGATCACTAATAGATGTCCCCTTCTTCAATTGGAAGCGATAAAGCCTCCTCTTCAAATGCAAACGATTTCGACCGCTCTCAGTCAAAATTTGCCCTCTTAGGACCTCCAATCTTTTTGTCGAAGTTCAATTCTCACATGCATATTTAAGTTCTATGCGGTAAGGTCAAGACCTAATCCTACCACACTTGTGCCGTTCTATTCATTTTATTCCAACCTTTCATCCAATGGTCCTGGCGGCTTTCCGTTCCAACTCCAATGTACTCTTCCACAATTTCTGCGCATTTAGCCGCCAATCCATGACCTTCGCCATCGCCAAAGTTCCAAAATTATTTGTGCCCGTTGAATTTTTCCACATACATATTTTCATAAGAATGTTATATTCAAATTGGACGGCCTTCACACCAGAAGCAACCCTCCCCAACTTTTATTCTTTTTTCAGCCATATATCTCCAAAGCGACCACCAAACCAATGCGGAAACAAACGAGAAATTAGATCAATTAGAAAAGACGAGGATTTGTTACTGAAAAGATCCACCTTTTATCACCAAACGAGCCTAGAGTGAATTGCCAAAGCGATCTACTTCCTCCAAAATAGCCCAAGCGTAGCCCGGCAGCTCTGATACCAATTGGTTGTGCCTAGAGAAACCAAAACAATCGCAAGAAGAGTAAAACAACCAACCAAACTTCAACAGCACAACAATCCAAACACCGTTTTTACGTGGTTGGCAAGATGACTACGTCCACGCGGGCAAGGAGGGGGAGCTTCTTCACTATTAAGAAATCAAGAGGAACAAACTAGGGTTACATCTCTCATAAACCCTCAACAATTGAACTCTCAATCTCGTCCAATTGCTCTAGACAATAGAACAGCCCAAAAGAATAACTCTTCTATCTGCTCAAAATGGTCCTTGCTACTTTACACCCTAAAAAACACCACAATGCGCAATATATAGACAATCCAAGAACGTAAGCGGTCTGAATAACCAGCGTCCAACTCAAAACCGCAAGCGTTCGATCGACCCCGGTATGGTCGCTAGTCCCGTCCATCTCGGTCGACCGGCCCGGCGTCGCGACGGCCCTCATCGAGCGGCTTGCCTCAATGATCCAGAGAAACGTCGGTCGACCGCGTCGGTCGACCGCTACCATCTTCGGTCGACCGCGCCGGTCGACCGCCACCACCACCGAAGCCCAGTAAGCCTCGTGCACGAATGCGGTCGACCGGGCCGGTCGACCGCCACCCAATTCTGCTAAACCCGAATATTTCCTGCCAATTCTACAATGAAAACAAGAAGAATAAATCCTCCTATGAAATTCTTTCAATTATATGAATCCTTTTCCTCCACATCAACAATCAAGGGACATTTGCTATAGATAAATTAATCAAAACTATGTGTTAAGCTTTTTTTCTTCCTATGTATTTCTACATCCATCATCTCAACAAATACTTCCACATAAAGCTCTCAGGCACAAAACCAAATTGATCCTAAGAAATGACTAGTCTTTCCTCAATTAAAAATATGAAGTTTTTCTTGTTCTGGTTCAGGACTCTTCTATAGTGATTCTTACCATGAACTCGGGCTACAAATATACTAGATTACCATAGGCCCTATAAGATATGCCTGCTCTTGCTAAGTTTTTGTAATCCAAAGACCGAAAGAATCCAACACTACTAGAACCCACTAGGTTCACCTGTTGGCACGAGCCACCTGTTAATACTCGTATGCTTTCTGATTGTTCATGTATCCATCTAAGCATCTTCTGATTATTCATGTATCCATCTAAGCGTCTTCTAATTATTAAGCAGCATCCATGACCCATAAGAGAAATTCTGAGGGTCCAAATATTTATCACTCGTTATATCATTTAAGCACCATGTTCAACAAATAGATTTAAGGTGATGATCAGTTTTGACCAGTGAAATGTTTTTACTACCAATTTTCCAATTACTAGTTGCATGAGTTTAGCTATTTGCAGATATCCATGTATCTGGTAATGACATAGGTGTCTCTTTTATGGGGATTTGAGAGGTGGGAAATTTATATTCATTCTGTTAACTATCCACAGTTTGTATATAAAACTTATGTATACTTTACTTTAAAATTATGTATATTTGCCATCGTTCTAATACACAAACTATGCAAGCCCCAAAGCGCATCTCCTAGGATCAAAGCAGCTTGGCTAGCTGGCAGAAGAGATGTAACGAACCTATGTATATTTGCCAACGTTCTAATACACAAACTATGCAAGCCCCAAACCGCATCTCCTAGGATCAAAGCAGCTTGGCTAGCTGGCAGAAGAGATGTAACGAAGCTTATGCGAAGAAAAAAATTAAATTAAAAAAAGGTAGCTTTTAGTTACATATTCCCCAGCTTGCAGAGGGGAAGAGGGTGATGGAAACAGGATCAGATGAGAGTTAAGGTCGATCCGTCTGCTTTTAAATTCTTGCATCCAGGAAGGTATGAGAAGAAGAACGTCTGTACAATCTTCTTGCTTTCCTCTTTTATCCATGTTCTCGCTTTTATTTACATATACTTCCACTACTATTAACCTTCCTCTTATTCCTTCATATCAGCCTAACTCTTTAGCTACTGATGTATGCTCAACCAGAGGTATTCCCTTTGCACCATCCCCCTACCTCTCCTCTCCACCACCAAGGCACAATACCCACAAAAAGAATGAAAAAAAAGAAAAGAAAAGAAACCAAAACCAGGCATACACAAATACATATCCTCCTCCCACCACCAATGTCAGCCAAAAAGCTTATGCGCACTATATACTATAACGCTGATATCACAAAGAAGCATAGTGCAGAACTAATCTGCAACTATAGATGCGTTGTTTTTGAATGTCATGCAGTAGTACACGAGGAATCCAATGGAATCAATTGTTGACACTGTCATGGCAATACCAGTACTAAGTGCAAGTTCAATTTGCGGTTTTAAAATGTGTCCATTTTCTACATGCCATACACAAGAATTCTCTGGATAGCAATTTACCAGTCTTTTGACGGTAGAATATATAATATGTGTAACATGGAGTATAAACTATAGTTTACCCGCAAAAGTTCAGTGGCTATTAAGTTCAGTGGCTATAAAGTTCAAGCTCCATCCACACAAACACACATGCACACACAAACACACACACATATAAGTATACATGTATTGTGACAAGAGTTCATGACTTAATACCTGTCTGCTTATGCCTCTTTACCTCCTGATCTTCAAACCTGTGGTTGCTGGAATAACTGAAATACAATAAGTGAATATCGCAAACTATTAACTTTCCAAGAGGTCTCCGATGCTATCATGTATAAGGAAGTCCTCAATAACAGACACTAACCTCTCTGTCTCATACTGCATAGTTGGCCCAAGTTTGTTAGTGTTGTCATTTCTATCAATCTCAAAAGCCTTCAGCGCACATGGGTTCTCATGGCACAATGCTGCAATAGCAGCCTCAGCTGCTGCCGTAGCGACATGTGGTCCTCCTACTGTAGACAGGAGAGCTACCTAACAAATATGATGTCAGCCTCCCCCATTGTAAACACGCTACAAAATGAGGTGGTTGTTTCTGCATATTAAGAAGCAAAGGGTCATAAAACAACTAGCTACCTGGTTCATTAGCGAATCTGTAACGTCAGTAAAAGAAGCTAAGCATCTTTTTTTGGTAGGAGGTTCTGGGGAAGATTCCTCGGTGACTTTCTTCTTTTCATTAGTAGCAGTGATCTGCTCACCATCTTCTTTTACGGTCTCTTCTAATTGTTCCTTCAGCACATACTGAGCTTCTTTGGTTACTCCACTGACTGGGTTCCTACTAGTATCCAACTTATTACGAATGGGGCCTAACATATGCTCGCCAAAAGGTAAATGTATAAGTCTTGCAATACAATCAAGTTTATTCTTGGTCCGGACGTGCTGGGCAATAAGATCCCAGTCATCACCATGCTTGAGAACAGCTTCCAAAAGAAGTAGCGTTTCTGCATCTGTCCATGCATTATTTGCATGCTTATCACCACCATCTAGATGATTGTTAGCCTCCGAACCATCCACTAGCTTTTCTTCTTTAGTGTTCTTATTTTCAGAACACTTTGAACACACTGCAGAGTCAGCCTGTTTTTTGATGTAGCAAGAACATAATCATAATATGCAGGAAAACACAAGTTACACTCCTATAAGATTTTAACTGCAAAAAGAATTTCATTCCAGAAGAATGCAATTTTAGTTGTTCTATTTACAGTCAGTCACCAGCATAAAATTTGCAAGTTAAATAGCTCACTAAAGTCATTTGTACCATGAAACATTAAAATTGACTTCTGATATCAAAATGAAACTTTTCCACTATAATTGTGTCAATTGAAGAATAATACTAGATGAAAATGGTTCAGAAACATATAGTGTGAACAGAGTTCTCATAAATATTTAATTTGCATCTTAGTTAATAGGAAGATATAGTAAAAATAATTACAGTAAAATCATGGAAGTTGTATGTCAAAAGAATAGCAAGGCACAAGATTTCATATGAATTAAATGTCTAACATAATGAGCATATATGCATATAGACAATCCCCATGTTAGCTTTCCAAATGCAGCAAGAATCTAAGCTTATGTGAGGCAATAACTATCAGATGCATAACGGTGATGACCAAGGTTACATAAAGCGCTAGACGGCCTAGGCGTTGGACCCGACGCCTAGAGCATAGGCGGGAGCCTAGGCAGGGCCTAGACAGTTTTTTTTTAAATTACAATAATTAATAATAAAATGTCAATGTTATAGAAAGCTTAGGTGCCGGATTAGCACCTGAGTGAATTTCTTTCTTCGTTTGAGTGGTGGTGGAGGAGCTTTTGCTGAAGGTTGGAGGATATAGATCGGGAGTTAATAGTTGGAGGCTAGAGGAGTTTGGCGGAGATCGGAGAATGTGGAGGCTACAACATTGGAAATCATGATCAAGGCCTAAAGTGTCATCCATGTAGGCAGACCGCGCTCCCTTAGGTGCTCTCAGAACCAAGGTGGGCAGCCTAGATACCGTCTAGGCTAGGTAGGCGGCCTAGGTACCACCTAAGCATAGGCATAAGCCTAGGCAAGCTAGTATGAGGCTTTTTAAAACATTGGTGATGACACGAAAAGGCTCATAGAAGATAATAACAGTAAGCCTACACATAAATTTCCAAGTATATATTGTGAATCCATAAATAAAAAACAAAATATTAGAATTGTCTTTAAATAGATTTATTTCAATTTTTTACCCCTCACAAGTATAGCACCGCATTATCTGCAAAATCCTTCCCATAACAAATTAAGTATTGCAGCAAGAACGATTATTTAGAGTTAACTGTCATTTAGACAATATTCTAACGGAAGTGACAAATTGTGCTTTGTTTTGATGAATGCAAGTAAAAAATTTGGTCATTGAGCAAGGTTTTCTGTAGCAGTTCTCTGTTAATTTATTGTCCTTGCTGTAATCAGCCATGGTTATACAGAAACAAAGATTCCCTCTCAACAAAGTTGAGAAATTATTTTTCCACAAGGGGAAAAAATCATTTATTGAATTAAAAATCTATTGCTTACAATTGGAGAAAAAAGGATGAAAATATTTGTTATCCATAATGAATAATGACTTCGGCCACAGTATACTAAATTCCAGAAGCTACGTATGTAGGGTACGCATTCAAGACATTGGATCTGTATCTAAGGCAGTTAAACAGGGGGATTTATTTTAAATTTACAAGTCTTTTTCTCCATTGCAAAGAGAGAGTAACAGTATCCATTAATTGTTTATTTGGTTTTGAGGAATAAGCAAGATCCTCTCCTATCGAGCAAGGGACCATGGAAGGAGCATATCCTCTGAAATACCTCTAGTTATTAAAAGCAAATCTACAAGAAAATGTACAGATAATCATATGCATGCATCCATTATAAACATGTGTCGCTATTTGCTGGCCTAGAATTCAATTCTGTAGGACCTGTCGTGTCATGCTCATATATCTCTTGCGCATGCATAATAGGACTATATTAATCGGCTTCTTCTCTTTCTCAAATGGGGCCTATAATAAGTGAACAAAAAAGATCTAAGAAAAATGTGCCTCAAATGTACAGTGCTACTCCATTTCTTATTTATCTTCAAATCTTCCTTTACTTATCATGGATAAATTTTAATTTTAATCCACATATTCGAGCACAACAGTGAGGTATTCTATAAAATACATAAAGAACACAATTACAATTACAAACAAAAAGAACAATAAGCTAAAAGCAATTTAAGTAGCATCCAGTTAAAAGTACCCTGAAAAGGTTATCCGAACAAGATAACAATTGTCAATAAAATGGATCAGATATATGAAATCTCAGAATAGGAAACAGATAAATTATCCAGGGGCCTAGGACCAGAGTATACATCTAGCACGATCACCATCATTATATCAAACAAAACCTTATCACTCAACGTAGAATTGGCTACAGACTCTAGTATAAATGGAGAAGACCCAAAGGAAAGTGTCACCAAACTTTATAAATATGTCAAAACCTGATATCACATCAACTTTCTGAAATGGATTCAAATTATTAACCAAAGAGATAGAAGCTACGGCTTGCTACAAGCCATGAAGCAGGCAGAGAAAGCAAATCTAGTTCATCTGTCTACTCTAGGTGCCAAAGTACTTCCCATAAAGACATCGTGTCTATATGAATGAAGGATGAAAAGAGATGTGACTCCGTTCATAGAACTGAAGTCAAAGCCACAGTGGTTTCCATATTAAGGACTATGTATTACGAACACTTCTATTGTAAAGCCAAGTTGCAGTAGGCACACATACAATGTGCACTTCTAAGATGCTGTGTATTCATGTGTTGTGTCTATTAATAATGTTCGTCAAAAATAATTACCTAGGACCATTGGAAGCATTTTGGAAAGTTTACTATTATGGAAATATATCTGCATGATGTATGGATGATATTTTGCTGCATGGTACATGACTTTGCAGATGTTGAAGCGAGTTGAACCTTTTGACACAAGTTCATATGATAATTGAAATTTAAGTGTTTATAAATCCTTAAATATGTTTCCACAATTCAGCTTACTCTAATAGCACTTGTCTACTATTTCTGAGTGATTACCTTAAATATTTCCAATCCTTTATTCTCTTTGGATGTGTGATTGCGGAAGGATTGGATCAAGATAAGGCACTGAAACTCAATAAAGGTGAGAAAACAACTTATCATAACTCAAGGTGCATTAGCAATAGAATTACTAAAGATAAAGGAATGCCAAAACTCACATCAGATTTGCCCCTGTAGTCAGCACTTGATTTACTCACACACAGCTCTTAAATAACTCGATCAGAATTTAATATTCAAATATAGATATAAAACCAACTTCTTGTAATGATTTAAATCAAATATCATGCTAGAAAAATATCAACCTAAGTGACAATATGCATACATAATCACCATCTGGAAGCCTACATGGTAAAAATCATGCATGCATCACTGTTTTTACCCACAGATAATGATTTCAATATGTTTATGTGACATCACAAAAATGTTCTCTGACAGAGGATGTTATAATAGTTGTACACATAAATTCCTTGCCATCATATTTCTAACATAATCTAGTTCTATGAGGAAACAAGTTACACAGCTCTCAACAAACTCTTCTCCATTTCAAGTTCAAGTAATAGGTTTAGGTGGGAGTTATATTATTATTCAGTCTGCAAAGCATATATTAAACAACCACACTACAAAGTTTAGGTGCATTTCTACTAATATATCCAATACTACCATCACAAAACACAATCCATCAGAAGCCATTTGACACACACCCCTCAAAGAACGCATAAGAAAAGTGCTCACAACTAAGGTTAAACTGTTTAAGGAGTTGGCAATTTAATACATACTATGAAATCAAGACAACGCATCCTAGATGGTGTGGCCACTTAAAACATGAAACAATTACATGTCAAACACAAGTATTGAGCACGATAGTACTGCTTATATGTACTTCAAGAATTTGTTATCTCTTAATGCCTCATGCTGTGTTGCAATTGTGTCTGCATGTCTGTGTTTGTGTAATGAAATCTAATTCCCGATACATGTATATGAAAAAACAATTCCATCAAATACAAACTTCGAAATATACAAAGTTCTCGCATTATATTGCTTATGTTATTGCCTTATCTCCTGTTCAAATTTCAAAAATACTCCCCCAAATCTAAAAAATTAAAATCGAAACAAAAAAAACTTACCTTTCCGGTTCCCTCCATCTGATTACCACAGATTCCACATACCTCCCCGTTCTTCCCCATCTGATCCCCAAACACATCTGAGTACGAGCTTAATGCCGGTAACCGGAACCCACTCTCCCCTGCACAGCTGCCACCTCCCCATGGATTCAAATTATTAACCAAAGAGATAGAAGCTACGGCTTGCTACAAGCCATGAAGCAGGCAGAGAAAGCAAATCTAGTTCATCTGTCTACTCTAGGTGCCAAAGTACTTCCCATAAAGACATCGTGTCTATATGAATGAAGGATGAAAAGAGATGTGACTCCGTTCATAGAACTGAAGTCAAAGCCACAGTGGTTTCCATATTAAGGACTATGTATTACGAACACTTCTATTGTAAAGCCAAGTTGCAGTAGGCACACATACAATGTGCACTTCTAAGATGCTGTGTATTCATGTGTTGTGTCTATTAATAATGTTCGTCAAAAATAATTACCTAGGACCATTGGAAGCATTTTGGAAAGTTTACTATTATGGAAATATATCTGCATGATGTATGGATGATATTTTGCTGCATGGTACATGACTTTGCAGATGTTGAAGCGAGTTGAACCTTTTGACACAAGTTCATATGATAATTGAAATTTAAGTGTTTATAAATCCTTAAATATGTTTCCACAATTCAGCTTACTCTAATAGCACTTGTCTACTATTTCTGAGTGATTACCTTAAATATTTCCAATCCTTTATTCTCTTTGGATGTGTGATTGCGGAAGGATTGGATCAAGATAAGGCACTGAAACTCAATAAAGGTGAGAAAACAACTTATCATAACTCAAGGTGCATTAGCAATAGAATTACTAAAGATAAAGGAATGCCAAAACTCACATCAGATTTGCCCCTGTAGTCAGCACTTGATTTACTCACACACAGCTCTTAAATAACTCGATCAGAATTTAATATTCAAATATAGATATAAAACCAACTTCTTGTAATGATTTAAATCAAATATCATGCTAGAAAAATATCAACCTAAGTGACAATATGCATACATAATCACCATCTGGAAGCCTACATGGTAAAAATCATGCATGCATCACTGTTTTTACCCACAGATAATGATTTCAATATGTTTATGTGACATCACAAAAATGTTCTCTGACAGAGGATGTTATAATAGTTGTACACATAAATTCCTTGCCATCATATTTCTAACATAATCTAGTTCTATGAGGAAACAAGTTACACAGCTCTCAACAAACTCTTCTCCATTTCAAGTTCAAGTAATAGGTTTAGGTGGGAGTTATATTATTATTCAGTCTGCAAAGCATATATTAAACAACCACACTACAAAGTTTAGGTGCATTTCTACTAATATATCCAATACTACCATCACAAAACACAATCCATCAGAAGCCATTTGACACACACCCCTCAAAGAACGCATAAGAAAAGTGCTCACAACTAAGGTTAAACTGTTTAAGGAGTTGGCAATTTAATACATACTATGAAATCAAGACAACGCATCCTAGATGGTGTGGCCACTTAAAACATGAAACAATTACATGTCAAACACAAGTATTGAGCACGATAGTACTGCTTATATGTACTTCAAGAATTTGTTATCTCTTAATGCCTCATGCTGTGTTGCAATTGTGTCTGCATGTCTGTGTTTGTGTAATGAAATCTAATTCCCGATACATGTATATGAAAAAACAATTCCATCAAATACAAACTTCGAAATATACAAAGTTCTCGCATTATATTGCTTATGTTATTGCCTTATCTCCTGTTCAAATTTCAAAAATACTCCCCCAAATCTAAAAAATTAAAATCGAAACAAAAAAAACTTACCTTTCCGGTTCCCTCCATCTGATTACCACAGATTCCACATACCTCCCCGTTCTTCCCCATCTGATCCCCAAACACGCCCCCTCCTCCACCACCACTGCCGCCAACCCCACCTCCTCCTTCTCCTCCCCTTTATCAACCCCAAAATTGATCAACCCCCACCGATCCAAGAACCTAAACACCTTCTCTATCGACCCCACATCTCCAATCAGAGACTTCCTCACCTCAGTAAACGTCAGCCTTCGAGACGGCTCCTCGCGAAATCTATTGATGATGAAGTCTCGGTATTCCTTGTAAACCCTAGGGTTCCTCGAATACGAGCTCCCGTCGAAGAATTCAGGAAGGGATCTGCGCTCCGTCTCATGGATCGAGTCCCAGCTGAACCAACCTAATCGAAATTGAGAGAAAATTAGTAAATTCAGAAACCCTAACCCTAGGAGAGAGAGAGAGAGAGAGAAGGAGAGTTAGAGAGAGAAAGAGAGCATACTGGAGGAGATGGGGATCGTGTAGAGATCGCGTTGTAGCTCTTCGGATCTCAGAGCCATGGCTCTCTCTCTCTCTCACTCTCCCCTCGAGATGGCGGGAAGAGGAGAGAGGCAAGAGAACGCGAAATGAACGGTCGAGATTGGATCAGAGAGAGGTCTGGGGATGGATGGAGAGATGCCAGCCGTTTGATTTGTTGGGTTGGGTTTTTTTTGAGGGAGTTTTTAAGAGAGCGAAGGATCCAGAGAGATTGAAGGAGGGGCGAGGGTGAGGGGATCCCTTGGGGTTTCGGTGGATTTTGTTCGGAATGCCTTGGTTCGGTCACCTGCGGTGAGCTTAATGAAGAAAGAGGTGACTTTGCAACTGGGCCTTTACGTTGTAGGTGGGACATGGCCCAATATGTACATGGAATTTTGGGTCTTTTATTTCTTATTTTAGCGCCTTTCGTCTTTACATTATGAACCTAGTCCCTCGAAACATTGAAATTTGCTATTAGTTCTCTCAATATCATTGAAAATTATTATTACATACCTTAGTGATTATAGATTGTTTCAAGTTAATCCTTCTAACCAAGAATTAGTATTTTGAAATTAGTCTCTTAAATCATTGAAATTGATATTTGGTGCCCAATTCTTCTAAGTTGTTTCAAATTTAGTCTTTCAAATTCATTGAATACTATTAGGTTCCTAATTCTCATAAGTTGTTTCAAATTAATCCATCAGGTCGAAAGTAGTAGTAGCAAGATATAAAACATAGGAGACCTAATAATGATTTCAATAATTAAGGGACCAGCTGAAGGAACTAATTGCAAAAAATAAAAATAAAAGTTTTTAATTACAATCGAAAGTAGCAGTAACAAGACATAAGAAGTAAAAAACCTTTAGCAATTTCAACAATTTGAGGGACTAATTGCGAAAGTTTAACTATTTTAGGAACTAATATCAAAAAGTCCAACTATCATATCACGTATAAACATCAACCAAACATGTAACTTGACCCTTGTAAGGAGAAGATAGTCTAGAGAACTAGGGGTGTCTAAAAAGCCTGTCGGCCTGGGCCCGGCCCGGAGCCCGGCCCGGACCGGAGTCTAGAGAACTAGGGGTGTCTAAAAAGCCTGCTTTTTGGTGCCCGGCCCGGAATAGTGACTTTAAATTTTTTTTATTTTTTATATGTATTATATATGTATAATATATGTATAATATATGTGTGTATAATATATTTTCATATATGTATATATAAGATATGTATATATAATATATTTCTATATATGTATAATATGTCATATGCGTGTATATATATACTCTCTCTTAGTATATAAGTATACTCTCTCTTATATAAGTATATATATGTATAAGTATATATAAGTATACTTTCTCTTATATAAGTATATATAACAATACTCTCTCTTATATATGTAGAATGTATGTATGTATATATATACTCTCTCTCTCTCTCTTAGTATATATGTATATATAAGTATATTCTCTCTTATATATGTATACTTTCTCTTATATAAGTATATATAAGTATACACTCTCTTATATATGTATAATATATGTGTGTATATATATATATATATACACTCTCTCTTAGTATATATGTATATATAAGTATACTCTCTCTTATATATGTATAATATGTGTGTGTGTGTGTGTGTGTGTACTCTCTCTCTTAGTATATAAGTATATATACGTATAGTATATTACAACGGCTACTTCTTCCCTATTGGCCCAACAGGCAACGACTACTTATGCGATTCTCTCTCTCTCAAGTTATAACTTATAAATATATACAATATATTTACATATAATATATGTATATATAATATATAGTTACATAATAATTTATAAGTATATACTAATACATAATTTTATAAAATATAATAATGTTAAACTAATTTTTAGCATTTTTTTATCAAAAAAATTTAAAAAAACCTAGTTGGGATGTACTTATCTATTGTGAAGCGATAAATTCCAAAATAAATTTATACTTGTAATTTATAAATGATTTATTAATTATTAATAAAGAATTTATTTTTTTAATTTTTTATTTGTAATTTATGTTATTTTAAGTGATTAATAAAATTATTGTTTTTTATTAATTGTTTTGTCTTTTTTTTGTTTAATTTAAATTTTAAATAAAATTAAAAAAAAACGGGCCAGCCAGGAGCCCGGCCCGGTCGGGCCCGGGCCCGGACCCGGTCCGGGGTACCCGGGTTCGGGTCCGGGTCCGGGCTCCGGTTTTGCCCGGCCCGGGCCCGGATTTCCGGGCCGAGCCGGGCCGGCCCGGATGGACAGGCCTATAGAGAACCCTTGAGTTTTGCTTCGTTTTTTTCGAAAAAGGACTCAACTTTTTATTTTTAACCAAAACAAACCCCTAAGTTTTAACTCTCTCTTCTATGAAACTCTCAACTGTACTTTTCTTCTTCTTTTTTTTTTTTTGTTTTTTGACAATGAAGCGCCTAAGTTTTACTCATCTCCTCTTAAAAAACCTTTAACTTTCTCATAGTCCAAGCCTAGCTTGAACTTACCAACTGAAAGAGGCCTCCTCATCAAGTCGACTGAATTGTCCGCACGACGATCGTAGCTCTTAGTGAAGTTATCACCTAAAGTAGCTCCTGAATAATTGAAGGACATAAAATTAACAACCGATAATGCATAAGCTACCGTATCTTCATATCTTTGTGGTGGTCGGATATCTCGTCTAGATCGATCTCTAGCAATAGTGTATTCCTGCTCTTCCTATAGTTGTTGAGGTACTTCATCTACTTGAATGAGATTTGGCTGTTGAGCTCCCGCAGTTCTATCCTACTGAAGAGCTGAATCGCGAATTTCTAACTCCACCTTATGTCCTGTAGTGCGTGCCTTATCATCTGAAACCAATGATCCTTTCTGGTGGAACATAGCAGACTTGTCAAAAGTAATATTAGGTTGATAATAATCTTAGGAGACTTCGGATCAAGACATCGCAACCAAAAACCCTTAACACCTGATGCATAACCTAGGAATATGCACTTCTTCGCTCGTGGCTCAAGTTTCTCTTGACTAACATGGGCATATGTAGAACAACCAAATATTCTAAGATTAGAATATTCTGCAGGCTTACCAGACCAAACCTCCTCTGGAGTTTTACAACCAATAGCAGTAGATGGTAATTGATTCATTAAGTAGCAAGCCGTATTCACCGCTTCTGCCCACTAATTATTGCCTAAACCTGCATTGAACAACATACAACGAGCTTTCTCCTAAAGGGTTTTGTTCATATTTCTACCACTCCATTCTGTTGTGGCGTACGAGGGACCGTACGATGTCTAACAATTCCCTCCTTCTTGTAAAACTCATTAAATTCTCCTCCATAAACTCAAGGCCATTATCAGCTCTAAGCCTCTTAATTAGCCTCCCACTCTGCTTCTCAATCAAAAACATTCATTGCTTGAAAGTCACAAACACCTCATATTGATGTCTCAAAAAAAGACCCAAACCTTCCTACAGTAGTCATTAATGAAGGTCAATAAATATCTCGAACTACCATCCTTCGAGGCAACTTGAGAAGGTCCCTAAAGATCTAAATAGATGTAATTCAAAGTACATTTAGTCTGATGTACTGCCGTACTGAAGCTAACTCTTTTCTGCTTCCCAAAGATGCAATACTCACAGAATCCCAATTTTCCTGTACTCTGTCCATATAAAAGACTCTTCTTGCTCAACTTGGCCAATCCACGCTCACTTATATGACAAGGTCTCATATGTCATAATCTGATAGTATCATCTCCTGATATCAATGATGCAACTACAGCCTAACTATTAACGGTAGAACCCTACAAAACATTCAAGCTGCCGATCTTCTTTTCTTTCAGAACCACAAGAGAGTCTTTTATAACTCTAAAAACTCTACCTTCACCTGAAAAACTACACCCTAGTCGATCAAGAGTGCCCAAAGAGATGAGATTCTTCCTTAAACCTTGAACATGCCTAACATTAGTCAAAGTCATGATGACTCCATCATGCAGCTTAATCCGAATTGCACCTTTCCTAACAGTTCTGCATGAGGCATTGTTCCCCATAAGAGAAAATCCACTATCAATAGTTTCATAACTGGTGAACCAGTCCCGATTAGGACACATATGATAGGAACAACCCAAACCCAAAATTCAATCATTCATGCTCCTGTTTATATCATCTGTAGCCAACAAAACCACATCTTCAGCAATATCAACTTCAGCGGAATCCTCCTTTAATTTTTCTTCATACTCTTCATGTTTATTCTTATTCTTTAATCTATAACAATCAGTCTTGATGTGCCCTTTCTTCTTGTAATATCTACGGGTCAGTTTCCTGTGCTTCGACTTATACATGTTACCCCCAAAGCCCCTTTCTTTCGATCCTCTTCGAACAAACAAGCCATCAGCTTTATCACCTCTTTCGCTTATGGTTAATTCCTTGTAGATCTTCTCCTTATTTAATAGGTTCTCTTTGACATCATTGATGCTAATAAAATCTCGACTATAAATCATAGTATCCCTGAAGTGCTTATAGGAAGGTGACAAAGAACACAGTAACAATAGGGCTTGATCTTCATCATCGATCTTAACATCAATCTTACTCAAATCTATAATTACAAAATTAAATTCACTAATATGAGATTTGATGGGCGTTCCTTCCGACATTTGAAGTGTGTACAAACGTTGCTTCAAGAGGAGGCGATTAGTGAGCGACTTTGTCAAAGAAAATCCTCCAACTTAGACCACAAATCAGCGGTTGTCTTCTTCATTAGAACGTCTTGCAAAACTTTGTTTGTTAAACATAAATAGATAACTATGAGAGCTCTATCATCCAACTCGTTTCATTCTTCCTCCATCATAGTAGCCGGTTTCTTCGACTTTCCGAACGAAGCCTTCTTCAATCCACTCTGTGTCAACACGGCGATCATCCTAACTTGCCGAAAGCTAAAACTGATGTTATCGTCAAACTTCTCAATATCCCACTTGTAGTGGTTGTCGTCATTTTCTTGTCCGATCGATAGCTGAGGGCTCTAATATCAATTTGTTATAACAAATCCCTATGATAAACTAAAATCAATCACACAAAAGCATGAAAAATATCAAGAACACATGAATACAAAGATACATGTGGTTCAACTTGTAGCCTATGTCCATGGGCGAAGGAGGAGAAAAGCTTTACTAAATTGTGAAGAATACAAAGTGAAATCTCTCAATCACTCAATCCCTAACACACTCCAATAATCTCTATCAATCTCTCTCACAATATTTAATTAATCAGAGCAACA